TCCACAATAGGCAAGAATCCATGCTCAGAACTTTAGTCTCTTCAAAAATCTATTGATGAGGAACTCAATAACTGGAGAGTCTAGTATTTTTCTTTGTTGGAGCAGATTCTATTCATCTAACACATATTTATCGAGCATCTACTTTATGCCAAGAAGTCTTACATACATCGAGAATAAAACGGTGTACAAAGTAGATAAAATATCTTGTCACGAGTAAACACACACACACACACACACACATACACACACACACACTTTGTTTACTTATTTCAAAGTTCTTCAAGATGTGCTGGGAAAAAAGTTGACTTCTCTATTTCAAAATCTCAGTCATATGTTCAGTATTCCACTTTTTGATACAGCAGACATTACCTTTACCCCTCCTTTTTTTGGGAGGGGGGTTGAAGTCTCATTCCTTTGCTCAGGCTGGAGTGCAGTGGCACTCATGCTTATAGCCACTCCAGCGTCAATCTGCTCGGCTCTGGTGATCCTTCCTCCTCAATCTTCCAAATAACCGGAACTATAGGCAAGTGGCTAATTTTTTATTTGTTGTGGAGATGAGGTCTCCACAATAAATAAAAACTTTGCCCGGGCTCCGAACCCACGGATTCAGGCAGTCCACATGCCTTGACCTCCCAAAGTGCTGGGATTATAGGCTGAGCCACCATGCCCAGCCACCTTTACCCCTCTTTATGTGACAGTTCTTAAAATATCTAAGGACTACACTCTTCCCTAACTTAAAACTTTCATATTTTTCAGCCATTAAAAATATGGATGATTAAAATATATATCCATAGAAATTCAGCTAGAATACATGAGTCTTTGTATTCTAGCTGTATTTCTATGGATACATATTTTAATAATTATGCTAAGAACTCAGTGTATGTATAATATCATTTTTCTTGGTTTCTTCATATTTTGTATAAAATATAAGAGGTGACGTTGTGTAATGGCACAAGTACAAGTTCTGGAGTCAGAGTAGCATAGGCTCAAACATCTCCTCCATGCCTTATACAAGTCATTTAACAGTTCAGACTTTTGATGCACACATCTGTAAAGTGGGCACAATAAGAGTGTTTACTTCATTGTGTTGTCATCAAAGCCAAGTGAGATAAACTGCATAGAGCATGGTGTAAACAAAAGACACTTGATGAGTCTTAGTTTCTTCAACCTTGGCCTCTCCATCCCTTGTTATCTCTGATATCTTAATATCTCATTAGTTCCCAACAGTGAGATGGCTCTTTGGAGACTATTCTCTGTCATTATTCTTTTGTGCAAACCAAGCTGGCTGGCATCACTCTTGAATAAGCAGCCCCTAACTTGTGTGAGTACAGAAGGTTAGTCCCAAGACAGCAATCAGCCTGGGTCTTTGTCAGGGCTTAGCAGAGTTGGCTAATATTTTATTCATTAGCTATAAATATGGCTTCTCTCTCATTAAGAAGTGTCAGAGAATAGTCCTGACTCAGGAAATCTTTAACTTAGACACACAAGGAAGAGAGAGGCTGTATGTCTCAGAAGTGAAGAGTCAGACAGTACATTGTTCCTTAGATGAAGGTCTGTACGTGAATTCTCAAGAGTTTGCCATTTTTCTCTGTTGAAATTTTTAATTTTGTGGTTTTGTTTTGATGATAGCCTCTAAAATTTACAATAAGCTTCTTTTGAATCTTCTGGATGACCTCTCTTATACCTAGTACTTGGGAACATACTTCTATATTTGTGTTTTTGATATTTCTGCCCCATGCAGAGTGGGAAATGTAAGTGTCTTCTAGAGCTGAGCATACCATGTGACTGTCTCTAGGACCTGTGTCAGACAGTAGGAGTAGTTGATCCTATGGAAATGAGAAATAGATGCCTTACCTCAGGCCTTCGAGTGAAATAATGATAATTATAATAACAAGACTCTAGCCAGATAAAATGCATCTGCAGTCCTTATGTGAATAGTAATAAGTGCTATATAGAAAAATTTTAAGTGTGCTGGGAAATAACGGGAGATTGGAAGTGAAATAAAGTTTAGGATGATCAAGAAATGTCTCTCTGATCGATTAATGGACATAATTATACAGTTAAATAGAAGAAATAAGACCTAGTGTTTGATAGATCCACAGTGACTCTAGTTAATAAAATCTATTGTTAGCTGGGCTTGGTGGCTCAGCCTGTAATCCCGCGCCTTTGGGAGGCTGAGGTGAGTGGATTGCCTGAGCCCGCGGATTCGAGACCCGCCTGGGCAGTGAGACCTCATCTCTACAATAAATCAAAAAATCAGCCAGGCTTGGTAGCGCATGCCTGTAATTCCAGCTACTTGGAAGGCTGAGACGGAAGGATCGCCGGAGCCCAGCAGTCCAAGGCTGTGGTGGCCGGGAGCGGCCACTGCACTCCAGTCTGGGTGACAGAGTGAGACTCCAACTCAAAAAAAAAAAAAAAAAATCTATTGTTCATTTCAAGGTAGCTGGAAAAGAATAATTTGAATACTCTTAGCAAAAAGAAAATTGTGAGGCAAATCTCAATTACCCTTGTTAGATGTTTCCAAATTATAAAAAAATTAGCAAACTGTTACATGTACCCTGAAAATATGTACATCTATGATGTATCAGTCAGTCAGTCAATAAAAGAAAGACCTCTCTGAGATGATGACTTTTGGGTTGAGAAACAAATGATAAGGACCCAGTCCAGTCATAGGAAAGTCTAGGAGACGAACCTTCCAGGAGAGGGAATAGGTGGTGCAAAGTCTCAAGGGAGAACCACCGTTGGTCTGTTTAAAGAACCCGAAGGGAGGGAGCCTGACTGAAGCACAGTGAGCTAGAGCGATGGAGGTGAGGAATCTTGTGAGCCATGGAATGAGTGTGGACTTTGCTCTAAATGTATTGGGAAGCCCCTGAGAAGTTTTTTGTTTTGTTTTATTTTGTTTTGTTTTTTTTGAGTTGGAGTCTCACTCTGTCATCCAGACCGGAGTGCAGTGGCCGCTCCCGGCCACCACAGCCTCAACCTGCTGGGCTCCGGCGATCCTTCCGCCTCAGCCTTCCTCGTAGCCAGAATTACAGGCATGCACTACCACGCCCGCCTGATTTGTTTGTTTATTGCAGAGATGAGGTCTCACTGCCCAGGCGGGTCTCAAACCCGCGGGCTCAGGCAATCCACTCACCTCAGCCTCCCAAAGGCGTGGGATTACAGGCTGAGCCACCGAGCCCGGCTTCTGAAAAGTTTTAAGCCAGGGAGTGACATGAACTGACATTTATCTTGTAAACATCACTCTGAATGGTGTATGAATTTAAAAAATGTAGTGTGGAAACAATACAACCGAGGAAGCCACTGCAACAACAACAATAAAACTAGCAACCCATACTCATAGTGTCTATTTTAAATACTTTACCTATATGATTCCATTTATGACCATTTTAAGAAGCAGATACTATTTTATAGATGAGGAAACTGAGTCACAGAGAGTTTAAGTAACTTGACCTGGACAGGGTGGTAGAAATGAGAGTTTTCAATTAATGGGCCAAGTACAGTGGCAAACACCTGTAGTCCAACACTTTGGGAGACCAAGGCGGGAGGATCACTTGAGGCCAGAAGTTTGAGGCCAGCCTGAGCAACATAGAGAGACCCCTGTCTCAACAACAACAACAAAAATTTAGAATTATCTGGGCATGGTGGCACATGCCTGTAGTCCTAGCTACTCGAAGGCCAAGATGGGAGGATTACTTGAGCTCAATAGTTCAAGGCTGCAGTGAGTTATGATTGCATCATTGTATTCCAGCCTGCTGGGTGATAGAGCAAGATTCAGTCTCAAAAAAAAAAAAAAAAAGGTAAATTCAAGATCTGTTTTGGAGGAAAAGCAGTGGTTGCTTGATCAGTTGTGGGGAGAGACATGTGAAAGAAAGAGAAGAATCGGAAAGAGAAGAAAGAGAAGAATCTAGAGCAATATTTAGGTTAGTTGCTGTTTCCGTCTTTGTTGATAAGAACATATGTGAAGTTCTTGGCACATAATCAGTGCTCAGTACAAGACAGGAAGGATCCTTCCTGAAGCTCTTTGGTATTTGCTACTTAACAGCAACAACAAAAAACACGTCATGTGCCTTGGTACATGTGAGACAGAATCACTTAAGGCTAGATTTTAAATGGTTTGCAACTGCAGAGCTCTTTCCTGAATGGCTGCATTTCAGGTAATTAAGAGTGGTACAGACCTGATCAGATTGACCAACAACAAAATAGTCTCCTTGTAGTGATATTTGAGCAGTGAAAGCAGGTCCAGAAATCCTGGCGTGCTGGCATAAATTGAATCACTATGGGGGAAGAATGAAAAGAAAGAATTTTTTGAAGCCTATGCCCTATGGAGTTTTAGACTCAGAACATTCAGGTGACTTCAGCCTAAGCCACTTCAAAAACTTATTATCCTTTTTTAATTGGACTTCAGGGGACACACAGGACCACTGATTGGCCTGCCTTTCACAAAGGCAGTGGTGGCAGGAGCAGTAAATTTACTAAGAGTTTTTCTCTTCTTTCATGTTTTCAGATGTTCTCCCTTTTCCAAAAAAAATCACCTATAACTTCTATTTATTGAACACTTTCCATAGATAAAGGCTTGTGCCTTATGCCCACTCTCTCATTTTAAAACTCTCCACCACAACCACTCCCATAAAGTACAATAAATGGTTCATGGACTCTCTGACTACAGAGTCAGTATAGTGATCTAGGTTGATGTAACTCGATCAGCAGTACCCAGGTTTGACCTGATCAGCCTGGCTCCGGAACACAGCCTTTCAATCACCATCCCAGGCTGCCTTACTGAGGATTCACATAGACACTCTACCTATGACAAAAGGCAGTTGGGTTTCTATGAATTGAGCCTGGATATCCCCCAGACAGAGGCTCTTAAACATTGCCTTAGGATTTCATTTTCTGCCTGCAAGGGAGAACTGTGTGAGGGAGACTTGCCAAGGTGGAGCTAAGATATCAAAGGATTTGCCTTTGCTTTTCAGTAGCATTCAGATGATAAGTGACAAAAGTCGTGATTGAGAAAGGAACCAATCACAAGTTGCAGACTGGGAGGTTATTTTTGTACACAGGTATATTCAGTAAGATCGAATAGAAACTCATGGTTGAGTATGGCCACATGCTGGGCATTGCTTAGCGTTTTCAGATCTGTTAGACTCATTCTAGACCCATGACCATCACAGGAAGGCAATATTAATATGCCCATTTTGTAAGTGAGAAACCAAGGGCCAGAAATGTGATATAGCTTGCCCTATGGTACCAGACAACACAGGGCTTATTCAGGATGTAAACATAGGATCATATTAAAGATTTTTAGCCACACTGTCTCAGTCAGAATTTTTCCATCATGAAGCATTTTTAAAGATATCTATTTAGACTGCTAATTTCATGAGAAAAGTATCAGTTATGTTTCCCCAGGACCTTGCACACAGTGGGCACAGTGGAATCTGTTATTCCACTGACCCACCACTTATTTAGTCATGAAACAACAATTATTTCATGACTAAGTAAGTGATTGGTCAGTCAAATAACAGATTCACATACTAGGCTTCTAATCTCTGCTCTGCTGCTTACTACTCTGTGAGCTTGGTTTATGTTTCAATTTCTTCATCTGAACATGGAAAGAATGGTAGTATCTAGTTCATAGAGTCAATAAATTGATGCATATAACTGAAACAATGCTTGGCACGTAGTAAATGGTCAGTAATTATCAGTGATTATTATTGTTGACATGCCTTCCTATGACTTGGTGGTCATAGTTTTGTGGTCCTTTTTAGGAATAATTGGGTTATACATATGAAACTAGAAGGAATACTCAGTGCCCAGGCCTGATAGATGTGGTATTTGTTGTATGTTATTGTAGTAGAAATCATAATATAATTAGTAAGGTTATGATACATATCATATAAATGCATATATGTACACAGGGTTTTATGTGTGTACATATATGTATTTATATATATATACACATATATACACACAAAAAAACCACAAAGCTATATATGTAGGCACAATAATATATATGTGTGTGTGTATTCTATAAAAATAGAGGAAAACTAGTAGCAGAGGTGGTGGTAGCAGTTGAAGCAGAGGTAGTGGAAGTGTAGAATAGTGAAAGTCAAAATGGTAATAAAAGTGATAGTGAAAGTGGAAGTAGGAGCTGTGGAAGTAGCACATGCTTTATACTCTACACTAAGCACAGCATAAACTGTATCATCTCATCCTCATTAAAAGAGGATTAAAAATTAATGAGAGGCTGGGTGCAGTGGCTCATACCTAGCACTTTGGGAGGTGGGGTGAGAGGATTGCCTGAGCTCAGGGGTTTGAGACCAGCCTGAGCAACATGGTGAGACCTTGTCTCTACAATTTAAAAAACAAAAAACAGGCATGGTGGTGCATGCCTGTGGTTCCTATTAGTTGAGGCTGAGGTGGAAGGATCATCTGAACCCAGCAAGTAGAGGTTGTGGTGGACGTGAGCGTGCCACTGCACTCCAGCCTGGGTGATAGAGTGAGACTCCGACCAAAAAAAAAAAAAAAAAGTGTATACATTTAGGATGGGCTCGGTGGCTCACACCTGTAATCCCATCACTTTGGAAGGCAGAGGCGAGAGATAACCTGAGCCCACTGGTTCAAGACCAGCCTGGGCAACATGGTGAGACCTATTCTCTACAATATATAAAAAAATTAGCTGGGCATGGTGGTGTACACCTGTAGTTCCAGCTACTTAGATGGCTGAGGCAGAAGGATCACCTGAGCCCAGCAGGTTGAGGCTGTGCAGTGGCCATGAGCATGCCACTGCACTCCAGCCTTGGTGACAGAATGAGTCTCTGACTCAAAAATAAATAAACAGCCGGGTTCGGTGGCTCAGCCTGTAATCCCGCGCCTTTGGGAGGCTGAGGTGAGTGAATTGCCTGAGCCCACGGGTTCGAGACCCGCCTGGGCAGCGAGACCTCATCTCTACAATAAATCAAAAAGTCAGCCCGGCGTGGGAGCACACGCCTGTAGTTCCAGCTACTTGGAAGGCTGAAGCGGAAGGATCGCTGGAGCCCAGTAGATCGAGGTTGCGGTGGCCGGGAGCGGCCACTGCACTCCAGTCTGGGGGACAGAGTGAGACTCCAACTCAAAAAAATAAATAAATAAACAAACAAATAAATAACAAGACTTGGGTCAAACCACCAATATAAGGAGGTCACAGCCAGGTAGAGCTGAGCTTTACCCTTGTCTCTGTCTTTCCAAAGCCTTAACATATAGTAAATAATAATTATGATTGATTATCCATGAACAGTTCTGTTCTATTGTCTCATTGATTGTTCACTTTTAACTGCTAATAATATGTAGAAGAAAAAAGTTTTAATAGCTTATAAAAGTGTCCTTTCAAATTCATCATATATCTTTGTGAACTTGGCACAAATGCATTTTGAGATCCATTTTAGATAGCATGGATATCATTTTCAAAAGTTCAATCACCAATCATTTCATTCAAGGGAAAGATCTCTTACGGGGTAAAGGCCTGTAAAGACAGTAGTCTTACTAAAAGTATTTACTGGAAATAGGAATTTTGCCAGTTTGGAACTTTGGGTAATTGAGAAATCAGATGCTCTTATACTCCCTTGTCACCAGAAACTTGTAAAATGGTACACAGAGCAACTGCTTGACTCAGCTACTCCCGTTCTTCCTGTCTCCAACATGTGTGACCCATTGAAATAAGAAGTGGAAGAAACTGGGTCATCATCCTAGGTCCAGCCCCTCCATAAAAATTAACATATGGCCGGGCTCGGTGGCTCAGCCTGTAATCCCGCGCCTTTGGGAGGCTGAGGTGAGTGGATTGCCTGAGCCTGCGGGTTCGAGACCCGCCTGGGCAGCGAGACCTCATCTCTACAATAAATCAAAAAATCAGCCGGGCGTGGTAGCGCATGCCTGTAATTCCGGCTACCTGGAAGGCTGAGGCGGAAGGATCGCCAGAGCCCAGCAGGTCGAGGCTGCGGTGGCCAGAAGTGGCCACTGCACTCCAGTCTGGGTGACAGAGTGAGACTTCCACTCAAAAAAAAAAAAAAAATTAACATATGGCTAACCAGTTTTGTGATTCAAGTCTCAATCTTTCTACTTAATGCAAACTCTTCTTTAGATTTTCTAGAACTTTCTTGCAGTAAAACTTTTTGACTAACCATCATGCAATGTGGTACAGGAGAAGATGAGAAAGGAAATTTCCCATGGGATAACTCAATTATTCCCCCAATAAACTCTCACCTATGTGACCCTATGTGGAAATTAGGCCTCTGAGACCATGCAGCCAGTGAGAGATGCATATAACAAGTCCAAGTATAGTGTTAAACACATGGTCAACCCTTGAGGAATGGTAGCTATTACTGAGATTACTAATTTCACTATTTAACCAGGTGAGATATCTGAGTGAGCTGTGTAAGTGACTTCTCTAGCACGGATACCTTAATATAGAGGTTGACAAATTATTCCTCTGAGGACAGTGAGGAACTCTGCAGAGATCTTTCAGGGATGTGGCCTAGAAGTAGACATGGCAAGTGGAAACAGCCACTAGAAGAGATTATTTGTCCATGCTTCAGCCAGAGGAATCCAGCTTGGTAAAAAAAAATATTTTGAAGATGGGATCCCAAGGGTCCAAACAAAATTAGAAAATTTCTGGTTTTGTAATTCATTGTTAACACTCGCTTTGCCTTTAAGGTTGCTTATTGAACACAGATAATATTGAAGATATCATTAAGAAGCTTTAATATTTTGGTATATATATACATTGGAATATTATGCAGCCCTGAAAAGGACAAACATATGGACTTCGCAGCAACTTGGATGAATGTAGTGTCTATCATACTCAGTGATCTATCACTGAAACAAAGAAGAGTCCCATGTGTTCTCACTCATAAGCAGACCTTGAACAATTATCATAGTACTATAAGAAAGGGATTGGCAGTAGTGGGAAACTGCCAGGGGAGTGGAGGTGGAATTGGCAGTTGAGGGAAACTGCTAGGGAAGGGAGGGGCACACCTCATCAACAAGGGTAACTGCATGATCAATGTTTGTATACCTAACCCTGAATTGTACCCCACATCTTGAAAATTTTAAAAAGTATATATAAAAAAGCTTAAAAGAAGCATTAACATTTTATTAAGTAATTTTTTTTTCAGTTGGAGTCTCACCCCATCACCCAGGCTGAAGTGCAATGGCACATTCATGGCCACCCCAGCATCAACCTGCTGGGCCCAGTCCTTCTGCTTCAGCCTTGCAAGTAGCTGGAACTACATGTGCATGCTACCACACCAGGCTAATTTTTGATTTATTGTAGAGATGAGGTCTCACCATGTTGCCCAGGCTGGTCTTGAACCCGCGGGCTCAGGCAATCCTCTTGCCTCAGCCTCCCAAAGTGCTGGGATTACATTCTTGAGCTGCCACATTAAGTAATATTTAAATAACTGGAAGCTTTTTGTAAGGAAATATGAGGAGATAGAAACCTGACGCTATGCCATTAGTATAAAGAAAAATGTAGACCTCAAAATGATCTTCTAAGAATACAGTCATTTCTGTCCTCCAATACAATAATATTACTGGCACGCTTTTGCAGAATGCGTACATACAGAGGGCAAATAATTCACTCAATATCCATAACATACCTTTAGAGTCAATTTTATTATTACTGTTTTATAGAGCAGAAACTGGAGAATTAAAGTATTTACTCAATACTTTAAAATTAGAAAGTGGAAGAGAGCTAGGATTCAAACTCAGATCTGTGTGACTCCATGCTCCAAGTCTGTCTGTTATTGTATATTGTCTCCCAACAATGCCTATAATCCTGAAAACAGCCAGTTTTTCATGAATGTAGAAATCAAAAAATTGATGCATAGATATATAGTTAAATCATAGAGTTATTTACTTCCTGCAATCCAAGTTCCTCCTTTTGATCCACATTGTATTAAATCAAGGTGGATCTCAGATATAGTTTTAATAGACTGAGGATAAAGGTAAAAAACGTTCTCAGGTAGCAAGGTAGGGGATTAAAATACATCCACAACATTCTTTTTCCCTTTTGACATGAACTCTAGGACTGATTCTCTGCAAAGACAATCGATCCGAAAAACGCTATTTTTTAAACATTTGATTGAAATGATTTCTTTATGATCATCTTAAGCCAGATACTTATTCATTTCTGACCAAAGTAGTCCAAGAAATTGATTAGATATCTTCTTTCAATTTTTCCACAAGTTGTTTCTTATTAATAAAGCTAATTTACCATACACTTGATAAGATTGTTAGGCTGTTGGAGCATGAGACATATGGCATAGCCTGTAATTTAAGAAAGTTTCTCTCGATGACTTCAGGCAGGGGAAGGGGAACTCAGATGAGAGAAGTCACTGATGCATTGGAGTTTATTTTTTCTTTTTCAGCAAAATGAACTATTCATACATCTTTAAAAATATTACAGAGAGGATGTGCAAAGGAAAGAAAAGAAAATCAGAAAACACCCAAAATGATCAAACAAAGGAGAGAAAACAATCGGGTGGGATGTGCTTAGGGTATAACAATAAATATAACAAGAAATGAGGGGTAAAAGAGAAGAGAGAGTTCCAACTTTTCATTGTCGATGATAACTATGCAAATCCACATATAAATAAAAAAAATCAGAAGAATACCAAATGCTGAGACCTCATTTGCATTAAGGCAGTAGTGTTATAAGTAATTTATTCTCCTATGTACAATCCACATTTGGTGTGATGCGGTTTGTCATTTTCCGTTTGTTATGGATACAGTTGAAGTCCACTTTGTTTCACTCCATAATTCTCTTCCTAGAGGCAACTCTGACCTTGAATTCAGGAGTGTATCCATTTAGTGTATTCTTATACTTGAACTCTGCAAATTCATGTATCTTAAAGCTATTGTATTTTTAAATTTACTATAATTGGCATCTTTATCTTTCTGCAACATTTTTAAAAAGCTGTGTTTTAATATACTATGTTGTTGTATATAAATTATTTTATCCATTATAACTGGTGGATAATATTTCATCGTATGAACATGTCACGATTTGTTTATACAGTCCTTCACTGAGGAACATATAGGTTGTTTTAAATTGTCACCATTTCAAATGATTCTGCAGTATTCATTCTCCTGCATTTGTAGGTAAATATAGGCAAGTTTCTCTAAGGTATTTACTTACTACAGTTGCTAAAGATACTAAATGAACAATTTGAGTGTTACTAGATAGTGAAAAATTATCCTCCAAAGAGGTTGTAACCATTCATACTCTTAAAGTTATATAAAAATTTCCTGTTTCTCTATATTCGTGCCAAATAAGGTATTATTTTCAAACTGGGATTCTTGCTAATGGGTATGAACTAAATTCTCATCTTAGTTTCCCTGTTTTATGTGAGGTTAGAAGTTTGCTTTCATAGGCTATTCAATTTCACTCTTCTGGATGTCTGTCATATATTTTTGTCCAGTTTTTTATGGGTTTATCTTTTTTCTTATTGTTGAAGTTTTCAATAGCTTAGATAATAGCTCTTTGTTACACCTTACCAATATTTATAATGTTTATTGGAGGATAACCTAGTTAACAAATTATCTCCATGGAATGCTTTTTTGTATCTATTAAAATAATTTTTTTTCTCCTTTATTGAAACAATGTGATTAGTTGCAGTGATAGATTTTCTGATGTTAAGCCAAACTTGAAATCTTGGAATAAATTTTAGTTGTTCTTGAGTTATTTTTAATACTAATCAATTCATTTTTCCAGCATTTTTCTTCATGAATATGGATTATAATCTCTTAAGTGAGATTGGGTTATATTTTCTCTTATTTTTTAATCATTTTGTTAATTGATAAAATTGTTAATTTTATTAACTTCTTAACATCAAAATTACTCTGTCTTCTTAAAATGAGTAGATTAATTTTTCCTCCTTTACTATTCCCTAAAGCTGTTCATGAAAACTTGCCTATACAACTATTTGGAAGAGAATAAGAAGAGAGGTGAATTGGAGCTGGAGATGGTAGAGGGAAAGATGAGAATGAGTACTACTGACAAGAGTTTTTTAATGATTTATTGGCATATTCGTTTTTCTGTTGCTTTCTCAGTCTGTGTGGTAATTATATATTTCTCTATAAATTTTCCAATTTTCTCTAAATTTTCACAGATATTGACAGAGAGCTGATCATTACATTTTCTTAGATTTCTGAAAACCTAATACTTACTCTAGTTTTGTCTTTCTTATCTTTAATTTGTACATGCGTATATATGCACTTGGGCGTACCTTTCTTCATTTTTATGATAGTCATGCTAAAGTATGGTCTAATATTAATATGCCTGCCTCAGTTTTCTTTTGGTAATATTTGGTCTGTTTCTTGTACACTTATCTGGGATTTTGATTTGTCTGCTAACATAAAAAGTAGCATTTGGTGGTTTAAAAAATGTTCTGTTGGATACTATCTATTTTATTGGACTGTTAATCTGTGTACATTTATTGCAATTATTGGCCTATTTTACTATTCACATTATAATGTACTATGCAATTGCTATACTTGCATTTTTCCTTTTTTCTGCCTTCTTTTAAAAATATAAGCATTATCATTACATACATTCCTGTTCTACTTGTTGAGAAGTTAAATATTCTTTTTCTACTCTTTTTAGCTGTTACAAATAAATGTTGATGTCTACAATGGATAATGTCCAATGTTAATCAGAATTTCTATCCTGCTTCTAAATAACACAAATACTTGAGAATAAGTCCCATAATCCTCCTCCACTATCTTCCATATTATTATTTAATACTTAATTCCATCTTAGTCTTAAATTTTCCCAAATTAGTAATTTTTACAGTCAATATTTAGATTTACCAGTAACCTATTCATTTATTTACTCAACATTATTTCCTACATCCTACTTCATTACTAGTTCAATTTCTTTTGACTGAAGTATGTCATTTTGATGTATTTCAGCAAGGATCTGTGAGTAGCAAACACATGTCCTGCATTCGGAATACATCTTTGCTTCTTCCTCACCCTGATTGGTAATTTAGCTGGGATAGGTTTTATATTGACAGCTTTCTTTCCTTGGTACTTTAAAGCAATATCCACCATCTCTTATCTATTGTGCTAATGAGAAGTTCATTGCCAGTCTGATTTCTGTGCCTTAGTAGATAATGTATTTTCTCTCACACAGCTTGTACATCTTTTCTTTGACTTACACTAATTTATTACAAACTGTATAAACATGAGTTTATTGTTAGTTCTTATTACTGAAACTCCTTCAGTAGAGGGATTCATGTTCCTTTTCAATTTTAGAAAAATCTAAGCGATTATAATTTGAATATTAGCTACTTTTCATTATTCTCCTTTCCTTTTAAAATCCCTAGTATATGAATGTTAGATCTGCTCATGTTATCCTTTTTTATGACTTCTTTTTAAATATTTTCTTTCTTAATTTCTCTGTGCTACATTCTGGGTAATTTCCTCAGATCTATATAATTCATCAGTTTTATCTTCTACATTTAGTATACCTTGGATAATTTCTGGGTAATTTCTGGGTAATTTCCTCAGATCTATATAATTCATCAGTTTTATCTTCTACATTTAGGATACCTTTTACCAGTACATTAAATATTTTGAGAACTGTATTTATTCGATAACTCCTTTTTCCTGTCCCTAGATCTCTTCTCTTTTTTTTTTTTCCTCCCCGCAGTCTCTTGTTTTTACCTAATGGCTTTTATTCCTTGCTTTATTTTCTTGAACAGTCAACACATGCTTAACTTTCATGTTGTTCTATTATTTAATTCTTCCATTAGTCATATTGTCTGACCATCTTATTATGGTTCATCCCTTGTGTGGTTTTCAGTTTCTATCAATTTCTCTAAACTGCATATTTTGTTTTTGGTTTTTTAGAACCACAGGTGCCTTGGATTGTGGAAGCATCTTTACAAAATCATTTCAGATTTGCCTTTATAGAGGGGATTTGGATTTCAAGTGCCAGTTTTAGCTTTGTGTCTCTGAAATACACAGATTGTATGAATTTATACCCCACTTCTGTACTTGGTGCTGGGTTTTCAAGTTTCTGATTTCTCATGGGCGACTCTTTAAGCTCCTGTGGCCATAGTCAGATAGAAAAGTTTCCTGCTCTTTCCCTGGGAGTGTAGACAGTTATTTTTTAGAACTTGCTTTACAGATTGAACATCATATTGTAATTCTGGATTTTATGCTAATAGCTCAGTTTGTCAGCTTCCTGTTCAGATGAGGCTATGACTCAGACATTAAATCCCCAGCTACCCAGTCATTAAGCTTTCTCTTTATCTGGCCTCAATTTCCCTTTGACTCCCTTGACTACAGCTCTCGCTTGCATCTTTAATTGTGAGTTTCCTCTCTCTGTCTGGCACCTGGAAATTTTACTTTATTAATTTCTACATGTGCTATGTAACCTCTGAACACTCTTCACATTGTTATATTTCACCCAGAATTGCTATGCCTTTTGAGTAAGAATGGTATGCCTTCCACATCTGCTTGGGTCACCATACTGGCCAGACATACTTACATTACTTCTATAATAAGGAAAAAATACAAAAGTTTTAAAATGTGTTTAAAGAAATGTTATATCTTACGTAACCTTTTTTTCTTCATGCTTCTCAGTGCTGAATTTGAAGAACCGCATAATTATGAGGCAACAATTTCATATCGGAGGCACTCTGGCAACTCCATTAACCTGTGCACTGCAAAAGAAATTGCTGATTGTAAGTCTACTAAGCCAATTAATATTGTAACCCTGTTTGGAATGAAAATGTGTCAAAATGGTATTTTCCCTTTTTCTAACTGTACGTTTAAAAATGCACAGCTATTCTGTGCTACCATCTTTTTTCTTTCTTTTTTCCCATGTCTGGTCTCTTAAAAACATAAATAAATGTAACTGGGCATCTGTGCTATCTCATGACTCCTATTGCTGCCTTGTCTTCCTCTTCTCTCCTTTGCCAATCGACTTAACTGCTTTGCCTTTTGTAGATATGTGGGAGAGAAAATCAAGATATGGCGATTCATTTTTCTCCCTTCTCTTCCTATAGAAATTTCATCTCTCCTCTCCTGGTATCTTTCTTGAAGTCCCCTGGTTACCTGGTGTGTGGAGAGGGAGATAACAGACCCCGAGAATTAGGCCTCTGTGTTCAGTCTGAAAAGGAGCAGTGGATTTTTTTAATAGATCTGACCACTGACTCAGAGCTAAGTCTTCCTGCTTCTGGCACTGCCGATGATGCTCAGACCTTTTTTTGTGAAAAAAGAGACCCTCTCAGGTAAACAGATGAAAAAGCTGGGATTCATAGCATGTCTGCAAGTTTCAGTGTCTTTGTTCTGCCTATAGTATCAGCCAATTCTCTACAAAAGGCATATATTTTAGTGCTGGAATAAACACTGGTATTTATTGAGCTTGTGCTAGGAGCCATAGTTCTGTGTTAGGTTCCCTTTGTACATCCCCAAAAGAGTGGTTTTGTCACTCCACTGTTTTATCACCCCATTGTTTGAGACAAGAAACTGAAGATCAGTGATATTGAGTTGCACAAGTTTACACAACTATGCAGTAGAAATATAATGTGAAACAAGGTTGGCCTGCCTCTAAAATCCATGCTCTTTCCACAATTTTATGTGGCTTTTCATTCAAGGGAGTTTGGTTTCCCTAGAAGGAGGGTTAAAAAGAGATAATCTGGTTCAACTTCTTTATTGTATAGACAAGAAGTCCAAAGTTCTGGGAAATGAAGTCATTATCCCGGAAATACATACTTAGGAAGTTTGTGAAGTCTCTGCGAGACTCAGAATCCACCCTATTGAAATTTCACTTTCTGTCCCCAAGAAATTAGGTGTTGGAGAACAATTTAAGAATCTCTCTCTCCTGGACTGATTTTCCCATATGGCTTATAAAATACTAGCCATAAGAAGAATCACTCCCGCTTCCCATCACTACCAAAAGGCAATGCTGCCCTATTCTCAGTGTATTTGGTTTCTTGCTTTAGTTAAGGGCTTCTTAAATTCTAATGTTTATGTGTCATCCAGGGATCTTGGTAAAACATAGATTCTGGGTCAGTAACTCCGGGATGGGGGCTGAGATTCTGCCTTTCTAGCCAGTTCCCTAATGATACAAATGCCACCGGTCTACAGACTACACTTTGAATATAAAAGGCTGTGGACCCCATTTGAGCCAAATTCTAACTTTATGCCCTTCTACAAGGTGAAGAATTCACAGGGCCAAGGGAATGCTCCAATCAGAGCCTGTACTTTCTTTCTGCGGGACTCAGAATTCACCCTCCTGCAAGTGACTCATTTAAAGTTAAGTGGAATTTTGTTTCGAGAAGATGGAGCAGAAGTTCTTTTTTCTATTCCTCCTGCTAAGTACAACTAAAAGCTGTGGACATTACATATGTAAAACAACATTAGAAGACTCTAAAATGTAGAGAGAAGAAGGTAAACCAGCTAGAGACACTAGAACTAAAGGAATAATAAGGTGGTGAGTTCCTTGGTTTTCTCGTTGCCTCATATATCTCAGTCTTGGAGATGAAAAACCTGGCAACTTGGAAACACCAATGGGCACAGACCAAAAAGAGCTTCAATGAAAGCCTGATCTTTCTAGTCAAAGGACCAAAAAAGGGCAGCCTAGAAAGACAGGCTAGTCAATAACTGTCTACTCCAAACACCTCAGAAAAAAAACTGTGGTCCCATCACTAACAGCAATGCTGAGTAGAAAGCCTAGGATTTACCCTCATCGGGGTACAGTGATGCATGCCAACTCCTCCACTGAGATGGTGCCAGAGAAGACCAAGCAGGGAACTAGGATTTTCATTCCCATGAGGTGATAATGAAACCCCAACTGCTGTGTCCATGAAGACCATATGGGAAACTCCTCCATCTCTTGGGATGGTGTCAGAGGAGACCTGCTGGAGAGGACTGTCATAACCATCCCAGCAGTAAAAGGGCCATCTTCTTCCTAAGATGTCAGCAGAGGCCATATGCGGAACAATAACAGAGCACTCCTGCCCTTACCAGCTAGGTGTTATCAGAAGAAGCCTTGTGGAGGGCCAGAACTCCTACCCAGTAATGATGAGAGGTTCTTTCTTCATATGGGTATCATTGTAGACTGATTGCTTGTTACTTTCCAAAATGAGTATGTTGAAACCTTACCCCCTAACATGATGTATTAGGAGGTGAGGACTTTGGGAAGTAATTAGTATTACATGAGGTCATAAGGGTAAAGATCTCATGAATGAAATTAGTGTCTTTCTAAGAACCCCGAGAGAGATTGCTTTGCTTTCTTTACCATATAAGGGTACAGTGAGAAGACAGCTGTCTTTGAACCAGGACACAGACCCTCACCAAACACTGAATCTGCCAGCACCTTGATCTTGGACTTCTCCGCCTCCAAAACTGTGAGAAATGAATTTCTGTTATTTATAAGTCATCTAGTGTGTATTTTTTTCAGCTAAAGCTGAAAAGACATTTCATGTCAAAACTGAGATGACTTGAAGTATTAGAATTTTCTGACCAACACTTTAGAATTTTTTTTTTTTTTTTTGAGGTGGAGTCTCACTCGTTGCCCAGGCTGGAGGGCAGTGGCACACTCATGGCCAGCCCAGCATTGACTTGCTGGGTTCCGGCGATCCTTCCGCCTCGGCCTTCCAAGTAGCCAGAACTACAGGCGTGCACTACCACACCTGGCTAATTTTATTTTATTTTTTTTTGTAGAGACGAGGTCTTGCCAAGTTGCTGGAGCTAGTCTCGAACCCATGGGCTCAGGCAATCCACTTGCCTCAGCCTCCCAAAGTGCTGGGATTACAGGCTGAGCCACTGTGCCTGGCTTGACCAACACTTTAAAGTAACTTACATAAAAATACTTTAGTGAGTAATTATGGACATACTTGAAACAGCTGGGGGGAAAATTCAAAGAAATATAATGTCTCTACAAAGAAATATAAATGTAAAACCCAAATGAAAATTTTAGAACTTAAAATAAAATAAGAAAAATTAAAAGTTCCATGAATATGCTCAATAGTGGAATGAAGGAGACAAAAAAGCCAGTAAACTTAAAAATAAGCAATAGAAATGACCTGATCTGAACAGGGAGAAAATAGACCTAAAAATAATAACAAACAGAGCCTCAAAAAAATGTGGGACTGTAACAAAAGTTTTAACATTCATGCCATTGGAATTCTGGAGGAGAAGAGAAAGATGGCATAACTAAGAAGTGCTTGAAGAAATAGTGACTGAAAACTTCTCAAATTTGGCAAAAGACATGGCATGACAGAATCAAGAAACCAAACTCCAAACAAGATAAATGCAATCTTTATGTATAAATCTAATCAAACTTCTGAAAAACAGAAAAAATCTTGAAAGCAGTTAGCAGGAAAGAAACAATAAAGATAAGACTAGAAAGAAATGAAATTGAAAACAAAAACAATAGGGAAAAATCAATGAAACCAAAAGCTTGTTCTTTGAAACAAAACCAATAAATTGGCAAACTTTTAACAGGACTGACAAAGAATCAGAAAGAAGACACAAATAATACCAAAAATGAAACTGGGAGATTATTATAGACCCTAAATAAGTCAAAAAGGATAATAATGAAATATGAACTCTATACATATAAATTTGACAGCTAACTATAATATGAATCTTAGAAAATGCAGACACCTGTATGGAAATTGGAACTGGCAACAAATTCCTGATCAAAATTCTAAGTGCCCATAGCATAAGAGATAGACAAGTGGGACCTCATCAAACTGAGAAGCTTCTGCAAAGTCAAAGAAACCATCAAGAGAGCAAAAAGCCTACAGAATAGGAAAAAATATTTGCCTACTGTATGTCTGACAAAGGCCTAATGAAACTCAAATGCACTGAAAGGAAAAAAACAGACAGCCTCATTAAAAAGTGGGCAAAATACATGAATAGACACTTCTCAAAAGAAGATACATGGGCAGCCAACAGACACATGAAAAAGTGCTCAGCCTCACTCATCATCAGAGAAATACAAATCAAAACATTGAGATACCACCTAACCCCAGTAAGAATGCCCATCATTAATAAAATAAACAACAGATGTGAGGATGCAGAGAAAAAGGAATGCTTCTACACTGCTGGTGGGAATGCAAACTAGTGTGGCAATTTCTGAAAGAACTAGAATTTGACCTTCCATATGACCCAGCAATTCCCCTATTGGGAATATACCCAGAGAAACTCAAGTCATTCTACAAAAAAGATACCTGCACACGCATGTTTGTTGCAGCTGTATTCACAATAGCAAAAACAATGAGCCAACCATGCTGCCCATCGAAGCTGGACTGGATAAAAACTGTGGTACATATATGAAATGGACAATTATGCAGTCATAAAGAAGGACAAGCATATGGACTTCGCAGCAACTTGGATGAATTTAGAGTCTATCATACTCAGTGACCTATCACAGAAACAAAGCAGTACCATATGTTCTCACTCAAAAGCAGACCTTGAACAATTATTATAATACTATAAGAAAGGGATTGGCAGTAGTGGGAAACTGCTGGGAGGTGGGGGTGGTATTGGCAGTTGAGGAAAACTGCCAGGGGAGAGACTGGTACACCTCATCAACAAGGCTACCTGCATACTAACCCTGAATTGTACCCCACATCTTTAAAATAAAAAAATTAAAAGTTAAAAAAAATCAGTTAGATTACCATATTGATAGGATAAAGAAGAAAAATCACACAATCAATGCAGAAAATGTATGTGAAAATTCAACTCCAATTTATGATAAAAATTGTCATAAAAATCGGAATGGAGGGGAACTTTCTCAACTTGTTAAAGACCATTTACTGAAAACCTCCAACTAAACATAATACTAAATGATAAAACATTGAATGCTTTCACCCTAAAATTAGCAACAAGACAAGAATGTCTGCTCTTACCACAACATAGTACTAGAAGTTCTATCTAGTGCAATAAGGCAGACAATGAAAATTAAAGGCATTCACATCAAAAAAGCAAGTAATCAAATTGTCTTTATTTGGGGTGACATTATCATCTAGGTAGAAATTCCCAAGGAATTTACCAAAACACACACACAAGAAAACCCTCCTGGAACTAAAAAATGAGGCTAGGTAGGCTGCAGAATACAAAATATAAGCATACATAAAAAGCACTTGTATAGAATATATATACTAGCAATGAACATTGAAAAAGAAAAATATGACACCATTCAAAATTGCTTTAAAAAGATAAATACTTAGACTTAAGTCTTACAAAGCATGTATAAGACTTAAATGCTGAAAACTTTAAAATGCTGATTAAATCAAAGAAAATCTAAATAAGTGGAGAGACGTACCATGTTTGTGTATTAGAAGACACAGTACAGTAAAACTGACAGTAAAAATGTCAATTCTCCCAAAGTGATACGTAGGTTAAATACAATTCCTATAAAAATCCAGCAAGATCTTTTGTAGATAAAGATAAGATTATTCTAAAATGCACAGGGAAAGGCTAAGGAACTAGAATAGCTAAAAACAATTTTGAAAAATTAAAATAGGAGGAATTATTCTACCCAGTTTTAAGACTTAAAGCTACAGTAATCAAGACTGTGTGGTGTTGACGAAGAAAAATGCATAGAACAAGGGAACAGAATATACTGGGGGTGTCAAAAAATATATACACATTTTATGAGATGTTTGCCATAATCAGAAGTGTCTGGATGCTGATGTTAAACACTTTGAGCACCTCTTATGATTGCAGATGTTATCAGTATATATTGAGTATTACAATTTTCAGTTTTTTCCTTTCTTCAAATGTGTATACTTTTTTTTTTTTTTTTTTGGCACCACCTGTAGAACCCAGAAATAAACCTACACAAATATATCCAGTTGTTTTTTTTTTTTAAAGCTGCAAAAGCAATTCAATAGAGAAAAGAGAGCTTTTTAACATGGTGTAGAAGCAATTAGATACTAGTAGGTAAAATAAAATAAATAAACCTCAGTTTAAGTCTCATACCTTATACCGAGGTTAACTTAAAATGGGTCTTTCTTCTTTCCCTTGCTCACCAAGGATGAGACGACCAAATGATACCTTTCTAAGAGGAAGGTGGATCTAAAGATGGAAGAAAGGAAGGAGGATGGCTTTTGCTGTTGCCATGGGTGATTCTGTCTCTTGAGCAGTGCCAAGAAAGCAAGGAAGACCCTGTTGGGGTGCTTAGCTCAGCACAAGTGCTTTTATGAGGGTTCACTCTTTTATACAGAATGTGGCATCGGGTACGCAAGTGTCAGGCTGTTCTAGAAGCACTGCAGAATTGTCCTTAGAGGTCACCTAGGCAAATACTTTTCAGACTGTATTTCTAGGCCCCGGGGATTTCTTGAAGGGTCTTGGAGACCTTCGGGAATATCATCAAGCAGAGTTCTTTTTATGCTCCTGAGTGATATTCCATTTATATCAGCGAAGCCATGGTTGGAAGAAAATTTGAAAGGCATTTACTGTTGGAATGACCTTGGACAAGTTACTTACCTCTTTAGGTGTCTGTTTCCTCATCAGTAAAACTGAACTATTGGTAGTAATTATCATGAGAATTAAGTGAAATAAGGCATTTACATGTTTGGCATCATGCCGGCTGTCTATAAGTATAAAAAATGTTAGCTGCTTTTTATTATTTTTTATAATATGAATAATAATATTCATATTGTAAAAGCGGTGAAGAGACTTCTCCAAGGTCACACAGGGAGTTGGGACATGGAAAAGGTGCAGTGGGCCTCTTAGGACCATATTATGACTATAATGACACTAGCAGTTGGAGGGTTGCTGAGGACCATCTTCAGATATTTGTCCTTTCTCTGCCAGCATGACAAAGCTATTCATGGAGAGAAAACTATACAATTCTGTGTAGAAAGTGAGCAAGGACTCCAGTGCTGTGGGTCACATCTTCTTGTTATAATTCTTAGTTCATTTCTGACCCCTTAGACATGCAGCCTTTTACACTATATATATCTTGGAGTAAGTTTTGATAGCTTTGCTTACCATTAAAGAACCTCCACTCTGTTAATATCAGCATTATGGATGCGTTATTAATTGAATGTGTATTTTCTTTGTTTATTAACCATGGCAATAAGGCTTCTTCCAAGTCTTGGTGTCATTGTTTCTAAGATAGAGTAAGTAACAATATTATCAGTCCCCAGGTGGTTAGGAGAAGCAAATGACATCATGGTTTGCTGGTTATTTTACATAGATAAATGAATTGAGAGAGGGAGGAGGAGATTGTACAAAACAAATCTATACTAGGAGAATATGGGCAAGCTGCATCATAAACAGATATTTTTAAAGTATGAATAACTAAACAAAGTTTTTAAAGTAAGGAAGGGCAGAAAAAAATGTTTTCATTTAAAAAGCAGTGAAAATAAAAGTGTCTAACTTCCCAAGTTGAAGTACATATCGTTAATCATCCATGTAAAATTTTAAGTCTGCATCAACAATTACATGCTGATGGTCACTCAAGAAAACCTGAGATTTCATTTATTTTTTCAATGTATTATATGTTTAGAATAATCAAGGCTTAGAAATGTGACATAGTCAGTTTTCTAAACAAAAGCTTCAGGACTCCAGCAGCAAGAAAATGAAAGGAAATGGGGAGGAATCTTACTTATACACATATATTTGTTAATGGTAGGAAGAAAACTTTTATAAGTACTTCTAAACAAAGAAAAACCAAATAAAGTTTTTTGTGAAAAACACACCACTTTCTATACAATGCTTGGTGCTCTGCTAGGTATATTACACTTCTTACGTCAATCATTTCCTTTCATCTCCCCATTCTGTAAGGCAGGTACCAGTTGGCCTAGTTTCACAGATTAACAAACTGAGGTTCAAAGAAATAAATTTGTCTAAAACCCCCTATGAATGAAGTGGCAGAACTGGCTTTGAACTCAAATTCTTATCACTACTTGTATTTGTTAACAAAGTCACTTACCACAAAATGATGTTTCAGTCAATGATGGATCACATATATGTCAGCAGTCCCATCAGATTATGATGCCATATTTTTACTGTATTTTTTCTGTGTTTAGATGTTTAAATACACACTGACCATTGTGTTACAATTGCCAACAGTGCTCAGTACAGTTACACGCTGTACAAGTTTGTAACCTAGGAGCCACAGACTCTACCATACAACCTAGGTGTGTGGTAGGCTGTGTTTGCACAATGACAAGATCACCTGTCACATCTTTCAGAATCTATCCTCTTCATTAAGCGATGCGTGACTGTAATTAAGGTTGGTATCATGTCATTAAGTGAGATCCACAGAACTACTGGAAAAGTCAAAAGGTATTTTAGCCTTTGTTGGCGAGCGCCTCTTTTCAAGCTGTGTTTAAGGAAACAAAACCCTTGTGAAGCAAAATACTTTGGGGCATGATACAGAGTTCATTTTGTTGAAGTGGAATTTAGTTAGCTTTTTATTCCTTTCTCTTTCTTTCCAAGTTTGCCTTCTGACTGCTATCACTAAGTTCCAGTACTTTCCTTGAAGCATAGAGTGTGTATCTATTGACCAAAACAGGAAACTGAAAATAGTTTCATATGTTTTCATTGATTGTAAACTCCATCCTGGAAATCCCCACAGTAATGAAAATTATATTTATATATATTTATATAATATTTATGTAATCAGTGAGCTCATAATTTCCCAAGCCATGCAGATAGAACCTTGCATAGATTGATGTTCTAAAGGCGAGAAGACTGAACTCTGCAATTTTTCATAATTGCTTTCATCACGGGTACTAAAAGAAATGAGTGACAAATTGCCTTGAAATAACTTTCTTGTGTTTATCCTAGCAACTTATGACGTCAGAATTGAAGAACTTCAAAAGGTATTGTTTCCTTTCTCTTTCATACATTATAACTAAAAGTAGAACAAGGGGTACAGGAATGATTCTAAAGTTGTTTCTTTTATGAAGGAGAAAAGGTCTTTGTTTTCAGTTTACCTCCTATTCCTGAGGCTTCCCCAGACTCCAGCTTCTGAGAGTCTGAACACTGAACCTTGCAATGTCAGTGACCAAAAAATGTGTAACAGGATCAAAGAAGGTGGTCCTAATCTATTTCCAGCCCCTTATCTATGGTGGCCAGCACCAACTATCCTCTAATAACTGTGCCTTCAGAGAGAAATTCTTTGACACAATCCAAAACTTGTATATCCTGCATTTTCTAGAAAATGACCACACCCCTTAAGGCAAGCTTCTGGGCCTGTGGGCAGAGCGCTAGTTGCCACCTGAAGGCTAAATGGCAACCTGATTAGAGCCCCAACAGAATCCCTGCTAACCTCAATCCCAGCTCCTGGCTATGTGATCCTGAGTCTCCATTTCTTTACCTGTAAAATTGGGACAATAAAGTACCCACATCGGGGTTCCTTGTGAGGATGAAAACAAGATAAATGAAGGTTAAAAAAATATATATATTAGTAAGTACTTGAAACAGAGCATTTCACTTCTCAGAGAATGAACTGTGTCCTCTGTAAAATTGTGTATCCTCCAAGAGGACAGGAAGCATGTCTTGTGGTTACTGTATCTATAGTAGTAGATGCTCAGTAAATTAGGGGGCCAGTACCTGTTTCACCGTATTTCTGAGTGTCAGGCAAAATATGTAAACACCTAGTATAGTGCCTGGCTCACAGTAGGTGCTTACCTAGTGTTTTAATGGAGTCAGTTAAGATTCTACTCTTTTGTCGCTATGTATATTTAGTCTAGATCCTTTGTCTCTCTGTTTCAATTGTCTTAGTCTTGCTGGTAAGGATTATTCATTTGTGGATACACTTTGTAGCTAGAAAAATACAAATGATTATTATTCCTATTAATGGGAGTAGAGTCTATTAAAATGCCTCACTTACCTGGCAACATCAACAAATAATAAACTGTTCTGCACAAGTGAGTTCTCCAAATAACTAAATTTTATCCCATTTGAATAAAAAACCATAAAAGTATGTTTAATTTTTAAATCTTTTAACTCTCAGACATTTATATTTATCTCTGTATTTTGAAGTTCAGTGAGAGGAATCTGATTTCACTTTTTCTTGATGACTTGGATAGGGGCTTTCTTTGAATCGGAACTTTCTTGAATAGGGATTGGGGGAACACGATTCATGCTCTTTTAATGAGCTACACTTGAGCCCTTGTAGAAGAGCTAGTTGTCGGCCAGGCATAGTGGCTCATGCCTATAATCCCAGCATTTTGGGAGGCGGAGGTGAGAGGATTGCCTGAGGCTTCACCAGACTCCAGCTTCTGAGAGTCTGAACACTGAACCTTGCAATGTCAGTGACCAAAAAATGTGTAACAGGATCAAAGAAGGTGGTCCTAATCTATTTCCAGCCCCTTATCTATGGTGGCCAGCACGAACTATCCTCTAATAACTGGAGGTTGAGACCAGTCTGGGCAATTGATGAGACCGCCTGTCTACAATAAATCAAAACAATTAGGTGGGCATGGTGGGGCATACCTATGGATCCAGCTACTTGGAAGGTTGAGGCAGGAGGATCACCGGAGCCCAGCAGGGCAAGGCTGCAGTGGCTGTGAGTGTGCCACTGCACTCCAGTTTGGGCGACAGAGTGAGACTCTGACTCAAAAAAAAAAAAAAATTGCCTTCTGTGTTGTCGTTAATGGAAAATCAAGTCTATTTTCTGTAATTGTTTCCTTTTTTCTTTCTGCTGTCCATATCTTTCATGTGCGTATGTGCATATAGAGTCTTTCATGTGGTCCAGTATGTACCAAGTTCCTGTTGTATGCCAGGCACTTGTATATACAAGTGGTCATTATAGTTATCTTGTGAGCTACTGTCACTGCTTTCAGATTACAGATGAGAACATCAAGGCTCAAAGAGGTTAAGTAAACTTTATTTATTTATTGAGTCGGAGTCTCAGCCCATCACAGACTGGAGTGCAGTGGCACATTCATGGCCACCCCAGTGTTGACCTGCTGAGCTCCAGCAGTCCATCTGCCTCAGCCTTCCAAATAGATGGAACTACAGGCGCATGCTACCATGCCCAGCTGAGCCACCGAGCCCAGTCAGGTAAACTTTAAATAATACAGCAGAGGTATAAAACAAGGTCTATCTGCCAGGGCTGCATCTAATTTGCTAGAATTATATGTAAAATAACCAATAATCCCTAAGTGAAGACCTACAGAGCTGGCCTCAAAGAATGATATAATGAGCTATTATGCCTGGATTTTTTTTTTTTTTTTTGAGTTGGAGTTGGAGTCTCACTCCGTCACCCAGGCCAGAGCACATTGGCACACTCATGGCCATGGCCATCCTAACATCGACCTACTGGGCTCCAGCAATCTTTTTGCTTCAGCCTTCAAAGTAACTGGAACTACAGGTGCATGCTATCATGCCCAGCTAATTTTTTTTTAATTGTGGAGATGAGGTCTCACCAAGTTGCCCAGGCTGGTCTCGAACCCACAGGCTCAGGCAATTCACTTGCCTCAGCTTCCCAAAGTGCTGGGATTATAGACTGAGCCACCAAGTCCGGCCATATGCCTGGATTTTGTACAGCATTTTAGATACTTTAGATATTTTCTTTTTCTTCTTTTCAGGATTCTTGGCTAGATCCCAAAGAATGAGTAATATCAGATATGTGACCACTAAATGAATGAGGGGCTACATTGTGATCATTGGGACATAATTTTGATGGAAGCCAAATCTAGTTCATGCAAGACCTGAGTGGTACTCAGAGGGCACATGATCAGTGAAGAAAGGAGAAATCCCAGCATCACTTGCACACTTCTGAATACCAATTTTGCCTGCTGAAACATTGCTCAGATACCACAAATTCATATTTCCTCATATGATTTAGAAGTTATTTATTCTACAGATATATTCCTGGAAAGGTGTGCAGATGACAGTTTATTTTTCTGAGTCAAGTCACATTCCATTGGCATGCCCTATAACCTCAGAAATGCTTATTTTCTTTTCTGATTGATCTTCAGCCCCAATGGCAATGGTTCCTGGAACTTTCTGTTGTCAGTGTCTGCTTGTCCTTTTTACTGAGACCTCATATCCTTCACTTTTTGGTCAAGTCTGTAATGATCTGTAACCAAACAACAGAGCCTGGTTTAGGTTTATTTATGAAAATAACCATTTTTCTCTTCACTTTCAGCCTTTAAGGAGTTTGCTCCATCAAGAACTTAGGTAAGTATTATCGTCAAAAGAAAAGCATTATTCCAACCACTGACCCTCTAATGACTGAATTAGTTTTCCTCTATGGACTGGCTATGTTTCCAGTGCCTGACCTGGTTTCCACCTGCCTGACCTGACCACATGGCAAGGTGCCTGATACAAAGAAAATGACCCATGAATCTGCCCTGTCTTCCCCTTTCCATGTTATGGTACGTTCATGTCAAATGATTACTTCATCAGTTACTGAGCTTTTACCCAAATCGGACACTCCTAGATTCTGAGATACAAAGATGAATAGAATGTATTTCCTACCCTTGGTTTGAGATGAGAGGAGAAGCCAGGGTGGTTGAGGTCTTACCTGGAGGGAAAAATAACCAAATAAATAGGAAATTATGATATTATATAATCACTGCTATGGAAGTTGTTAAAACACAGAGGTGAGGCAGGAGAACCAGGCTGGAGGCTATAGGAGTGCTTTACTTGAAGAGTGACACTTGAACTGAATCTTGAAATAAGTATAGGAATTGAACTTATGTTCCAGGGACAAGGAAAAGTGTGAGCAGAGACATAGAGTATTGAAGAGTAAGGCAAGTCCAAGAATCTATGCATAGTTTGATTTGGTTTGAGCATAAAGTACAGTGTGGAAGCAACAGGAACAAAGCCTGGGAAGCATGGAAGCTGGATCCGGAGGGCCTGAATTCTCTAATGAGTCACTTAGACCAGCCCTGTCTTATAGACATATAATTCAAGCCAACTATGTAATTCAACATTTTTCTAGTAGTCATATTTTAGTAATCATTCTTTAGTAGCCATTTAACCTCACCTGTGAAAAGAGACAGATGAAATTAATTTTAATAATGTGTTTTATTTAATCAAATTCATCCAAAACATTATTTCACTTTTTTATTTTTAATTGGAGTCTCTGTTGCTCAGGCTGGAGTGCCATGGCACACTCACAGTCACTCCAGCATCGAGCTGCTGGGCTCCGGTGATCTTTCTGACTCAGCCTTCCAAGTAGCTGGAACTACAGGTGTGCACTACCATACCTGGCTAATTTTTTTTATTTATTATAGAGATGAGGTCTTGCCAAGAAGCCCAGGCTGATGTCGAACGTGTGGGCTCAGGCAATCCACTCGCCTCAGCCTCCCAAAATGCTGGGATGACTGGCTGAGCCACCGAGCCTGGCTTATTATTTCAATATGTAATAAATATCAGAATTATTAATCAGGTATTTTATATGCTCTTTTTTATGCCACTCTTCAAAATCCAGGTGTATCTTATACTTACAGCTCAATCTGAACTAAACACATTTCAGGTGTTCAGTAGCTCTACCTGTGGCCAGTAGCCACTGTATTGGACAATACAAATTCACACTTTATCCTATAGGTAAGGGAGCCACAAAATAATTTTGTTTTTGTTTTTAGAGATGAGGTCTTGCTATGTTGCCCAGTCTGATCTCGAATTCCTGGGCTCAAGCGATCCTCCTGCCTCAGCCTCCCTAAGTGCTATAATTACAGGCATTAGCCACCACATCTGGCCAGACAAAAGAGTTTTAAAGCAGAGACAGTGTGCCCTCTGCCTCATGATATTTCTAGAAGTTGTAATTTTAAATTTACTTCAGCAGTTATTTATGAAGATATGTAGACACTGTTGCATAGGTATTGGGGGATAGGAAGATGGAGTACAAAGGACAAGTATGTAAATGGCAGTCAGATGCCTTCGGGAAAATATCAGCCATGTGCTATGGGAACAGAAGAACTGGATAATTCTAACTCAGCAAGTGCTTTGATGAAGAAAATGATACCAACAATTATTGAGGGTCTACTATGTGCTATGAGCAATGCTAGGCTTTCGAAATTTGTATCACATTTCATTCTCATGGTAAGTGTTGAGATTTGTATTGCCATCTTTCCTTTATAAATAAAAAAAAACTTAATTTTAGAAGGATTAACTTTAAGTTTTAGGAGGAGTTAAGATGAGGGTTAGAACCCAGGACTCACTTTATGGTACCTGTTTGTCACATAAGAACTAGTCTATGACCTTAATGGTGGACAACAGTGTTCAGTGACAGGATGAAAGAATAAGACTCCTTAAAGCTCTTTCTCATTGTCTTTCAGAATAGTTTGATGTTTTCCCCTTGATGTTTTTTTTTTTTCATGACCACTTCTTCTGATTATCTTCTTTCTCCGCCTTCCATATAAATGTGGTAGCAGAAGAACTGTAAGGCAATCTAGCTCATTATAAAGCCAGAGGCAGAAGTTCCCACATGGATGTTGATGTTCTCCAGCATTCTGTCTTTGGCTCTTTCTGTTTTTCATTACACTCCTCACCTTGACCCTCACACGCTTTTCTGCTACAGCTGTTATCCATATCCTGGTGCAAGCCAGTGATTCGTGTCAGTAGGGAATACTGGGTAAGTACCCCTCTGTGCCCAGCAACGTGCTATTCCTACCATGGGTTACACAGCATCAATGCTGGAGATGCACATGTGTTTAAGATAGTCCTGCCTCTTTGTAACTTGATTTCTAGGTCATTGACAAAGCAAAGTAGAGGAAATGGAGATAGATGATCTATAGAGAGATATATTATAATACAACATAGAAGGACGATGTGTTAGGGAAGCGGAGAAGGTATGACTGCTTGGTAGAATCAGGGAAAGATTCTCAGAGGTAAGATGTTTAGACAAATCAAAAAGTGTTGTATTTGCCAGTAATATAGGATGCAAAAGGTATGTCTGACAAAAGAAATAGCTAATAAAGACGGAGAGTTGCTCAAATAGGGTGGTGGGTTTAAGGAATTATGAATGTCTTGATTCAAGCAAAAGTGGAGGGAAAAGGCAGAAGAAGATGGGTTTGGAAAGAAATGCAGAAGGCAGATCACAACGTGACTTAGATTAAATCCTATGGGCAATGAGATGTTAGACGTTAGGCAGGAATTAACACTCTGGCATTGAAGCTCAGGGAAGTTATTTACATAGTTGATCTAATCCTGATCCCCTCATCTTTAAAAAAAAAAGCATACCTATTTAAATCCATCTTTCTAATTTATTTAATTTTGGAGCAGTACACTAGCCTCTGAGCACTCTAAGCTTTACTTTTCTCCTGATATTTTTATGTTTCAGCCCTAAAAGTGAAAGTGAAGGCAAAAGAATGAAGGAAAAAGAGTCATGTGAATTGGGACCTCAAAAAACAGAAAAGGATCCACATTCAAACCATCCTTTCAAGGTACCTGTGTCCTAGTGTTCCTGGCCAAATGGTACAGTTTAGGCATACAGCAGATAGGTTCATGGGGGTGACCTTTTTTAAGCCTGAGACACACAGCTCTTCAGAGAGACTGAGTTAGAAGACACAATAGGTATTGGGTATCTTATCGAGAAAATGAATGTGACAATGACATTAAGTCCTAGCCCCCAATTTCCCACTTTTTAATTTTTTTTAATTTTTTAATTTTTTTTTTTTAATGATTCATGCCTGTAATCCCAGCGCTTCAGGAGGCTGACCCACTTTTTAGCCTTGAAGCAGGTCAGGGACTTGAAGCAGGTCAGCAAGGCACCCAGGGTGCAAACATAAAGCAGCACTAACTTAAAGGTGCTGTCCTAGCTCTTGCCCGACCCTGGAGTGAGAGCTGCCTTAAATGTTGTGCTCCAAGGCCCTGCTTAGAACAGTGACTTGTCTCCAAGCTCAGTCATCTCATCTGTAAAATGAGAATAAATAATCCTACCTAACTACCACCCCCTGTCCCAATTCTACCTTATTTGTGATCGTAAATTGAAATAAGGTGCATGAAAGTGCTTTTAAGCTACCATAAAAAATGAAATATATTCTTGTTTCTTGTGATATTAAACATTGTGAATGTGTATGTGTATCCATATCCAACTGACCACATCCCCTTCCAAGTTGTTAGGTGGTGAGAGGCTTAAAGAATGGATACCATTAGATAGCCAAAGGAAGGACAAAATCATGAACTTCACAGCAACTTGGATGGACTTAGAGTCTAGAATACTGAGCGCTCTATCACAGAAACAAAGAACTGAGTGTCACATGTTCTCACTCATAAGAACTATTATCGTAATACTATAAGAAAAAGATTGGCAGTAGCAGGAAACTGCGGGGGTGTGGGGGGATGTGGGATTGACAGTAGTGGGAATCTGCAGGAGGGGGGCACACCTCATCAACAAGGGTACCTGCATAATGAACATTCGTATATCTAACCCTGAATTGTACCCCTATATCTTTAAAATAAAAAAATTAAAATTTGAATAAATAAATAAATAAAAATATATTTTAAAAAAAGAATAGATATCACCTGAGCTACTACTGGAACTTGAAATGCTATTGATACCTGTCTGAGATGTGCCTATTAATATGCAAATGTCCCAGTGCCATCTGCAGGGCTAGGGTAAATCAAACAGTATTTTAAGGGTATGGGCCTGAACTGGTGGGTAGGTCCACAGGCCAGGTTAGACCACGTTATGTTGGATGTTTAAAGAGTATCAGAAGGCAGTATAATTCAAATAATAGAGTAAGTCACTAATTAAGAAAGAATTCAGAGCCAGGGGAGTTGCTTTGGGGGCCAAGCCCAGAGTGCAGGGCAAGGCCATAAATGAGTGGTAAGGCTAGAGATCAGGAAGGGTTTGCTCAGGAGTATATGAGAAAGGCAGTAGAGAAACATGACGAAGGATATTGGCCATGAAAAAGCACAGTTCTGCTTTTATTCAATGCTGGCTAAATGGCATGGGCCAAATATGGGGTCAGGCTACTACCAAAGGGTCACGTCTTCTATAGAGTGGGTTTGAGTTTCAGAAATCGTTAAATGTTATTTAGAATATATTAGATGAATGAGCAAACTGCATTCATTAGGGAACTACATTGAAGAATGGTGGTCACTATATTTGTATGAAATATTGACTTCATTACTTTCTTGTCATTTTTCTCAATTTAAAAATTTCATTCCTGGTTATATAATTTAAAAGAATGTCTCTCTTTTTGTTCTCCTCACAGTGTGCCCAAGGTCCCACCAAAAATTCAGAATAATTCATGTCATATATTATTAATTAAATTAGCTTTTTCCGAGTACTTTCAAATGTATTATCAGTCAACCCTCTTTTCTACTCTATTGTAGTCATATGGAATAAGAACAGTGACCTTTCTTTCATTTCATTGGACAATTAGAAACACATGCCCCAAATTTCTTATTTTATTTGTCTCCAGTGTCTTTTCTTGTCAGACTATCCAGATTTGTCTGAAATATAAGTCTGATTAGGTTTCTCCCCTATCTGGCTCCCTGTGATCGAGAATTAAAATTCAAACCCTTTAACTTTTGTGTAAGACCCTTCTTGACTCAGCCCCATCCTCTGTCTTCTCAGTCCCATCGCCTGTCTTTCTTTCCCATCTTCTTCCTGTTTTTCCCTCAACTCTTCACTCTTATTAGCCTTCATGCCACGTTTGTAAAGACACTAACACTTGTCCAAATAACCTATGATTTTGCAAGTGCTGATTTCTCTGCCAGATACTCTTTTGTCCTCTCTATCAATCTCCTATTGAAATTTTTAAAAATACAGTTGTTAAAGTCTTCTCCAAGAGAACCTCCCCATCCTGTTTCCATAGCAGTGATCAATTCTGTTGTAAATAACACTCATCATGTTGCACCCTCATTGATCATTTGCATACATTATCTCCATGATCATGTTGCACCCTCATTGATCATTTGCATACATTATCTCCATGATCATGTTGCACCCTCATTGATCATTTGCATACATTATCTCCATGATCATGTTGCACCCTCATTGATCATTTGCATACATTATCTCCATGATCACTCTGTCCCCTGGATCCTCTACTTTCAGAGATTCGCATGTTGTTTTGCCTTCAGTGAGTGTTTGACAAATGCTAGAGGGAGGGAGTGCAGAAAGAAGTGAGAAGGAACAAAGGACTAGTGAGTGGGAAGACAAAGTATAGGCAAAAAAGAAGGAAAGGAGAAGGAATACACAGCATCCTTAGTGCTTAAGAGAACAGGATTCCGGGGTCAATCTCTGCCTAAATAGATTGCTAACTACGGGATCAGAAACCAGTTTGTTAAGCTCTCTAAACTCTTTATCAAGAGGACTAATGATATTCTCTTCATGGCGTGTCATGATGATGAAGTGAGGTAGAACATATAAAGAGCCTGCCCTATAGTCAGGGTTCCATTACATCCTGACTGCCTCTTGTGGGCTGCCTCTGTGCTAGGCACTCAGAGGTTGATGAAAGACACGGTCTGCACCCTCATGACACTTAGATCCAGTAAAGCAGCATTAAGTAAATGATAAACTGTTTTTGTCAATGAGGAATAAATGAACAAAAAACAGCATGAGAAAGCAAAGAACTGATTAGATAAGTCAGAACCCTGAGGTACTCTCCCTGTTGCTTATTTTTAGGTAGATGCCTGTAAAAGGACACCTGGAGAAATCAAGATGACCCAAGTTCACAGAGGCAGCAGGAGCATGCTGGCTGAGAAGCAGGATACCATGGTTGACATCATCCAGATGAAGGCGTGCTCTGAGGGCCTAAAGATGAACAGGCACTCCCAAGGCCATTGTAAGTTGCATTTCTTTCTGATCCTCTTCACCATTGCCAGACTGCTTTAAAGTTAAGCACGGCCAATATTTTAATTTATTTCACAAATTTTTATTGAACAAGTAACTTGCTCTAGTGAGGCAGCTGTGCAGTTGTGGGAAGGACACTGAATTTAGAAGCAGAAGACTTGGGTTCAAATCTAGGCTCTAATACTTACCAGTTATGTGACAAAGTCCACACTCCTGCAGTGTAAGTTCTTCACTTATGAAAAGGGATCATACTATATGGACCTCACAGGCCTTTTTTGAAGGCCAAATCTGACTGTAAGTCATATGATAGGTACTCAGTGAATGTTTGTTTTTCTTTTTGTATCTACCAGATCCTGTTTTCTTTGTAGGCCCAGATCATTGATACATTAATGGTATACTATGGTATCATTGGTTGACTTTATTAAGTTTGCATTTCACTGTCACCTTAGCCTGGACTCTGGATTAAAGCAACAGTAATCAAATTATACTGTGCTAGACGCACACAAAAAAGGAGGTTTACCCAGCAAAAATTCTAGTCATGATTTGATCCTGGTAAACAAACAATATCATAGGGATTCAGAATCACTCTTTCTACTTCTGGTTTTGCTTCTCTCTGGGTTGGCTCCATTTGCAGGAAAATTCTACCCCTGTGGAGGAAAGTTGGCATCCAGCAGTGACAGGATTACAGCCTGGATCCCCTTTAGGGATCCCAGAGAAATATTAGAAATCTTTATCTTCCCACCAATTTTAAGAAAAGACCAAGATCTGAATCTTATTGGTTTTGTTTGGGTCACGTGCTGTCCATGATCTAATCATTAAATATAAAAGATAGGATGCTCTGATTGGTCCTGCCTATGTCTTTTTTTTTAAAGCAGGATTTATTAAGAAGACAGAAAAGCTCCCTCAGTGGGAGGGTACCCAAGCAGGTTGCCCCGGTCTGTGTCTTAAATGCACCTCTGGAGCTGATGATAGAGTCAGGGCTATCAAAGCTATATATTTATAAGATTGAAGGATTTCCCAAAGAAAACAAGATAGCTGTTATTAAAAAATTCTAAAAATTTAAAAATTAAAGATGCTGAGTAGACAAAGAAAACAGGTATTCACTCTATCCAAATAAGTCCTGGCAAGTCACTAATACTTCATGTGTTACCATCAGAATTATGGAAAGAGAAAATTCTCAGTGATCATAAGACTGATTCAAGGTCCCTTGAGCAGCCTGCAGCAGACTAGTCTGCCTCATCTGTGCTATACACCTCCTTTCCTGCCTACTTTCTGCTCTACTCTCAGTATACTGACCATGTCATATGCTTACATCACCCTATAATTTTGCTTGAGCTTTTTATGGCCACACTCTACCTTCTGGTACCCTATTCATCCTTCAAGATCTATCCCAAAAGCTATTTCTTCTGATGCCTCCCTGACCCTCAGTATATCTTTCTCTTTCCCACTCGCCAGAAGCCAACATTTCTCACTCCTTTCTGTTTCCATGACACTTAAACAGCAACAGAATGACCCCAGAGATAGGATTTGAAGTCAACAATTTCTGAGACCCAGGACCACTATATACCAACCTTGTAATCTTGGGAAATGTACTTACTTTGTTGTGTAAACACTTTGTCAATGCATATAAAGTGTCTGGTTCATATGTTAAATAACTGTTAGTTCATGTTGTTTTCTTGTTTTGCGAAATTATTGCATGATTTATGTTATAAGTCTTGGTTTATATGTTGTCTTCTATGACACACTATGGGTTCCTTGAGATCAAAGATCATTTGGTGTTTTTCGCTGCTTCTCTGTAACCTCGCACAGTCTGTCACACTAGAGATACCCAACAATATTTTGTTGAAAAAGGAATATAAGAGTACATCAAAATACCATGTCTAAAAATATTATGTAGATAATATGAATGACTCTCCTGACTGAAACAGGTAAAGTGAATAATAAAATTTTAAAAACGTTCATCAAAGTATTTACAGACTTGATATATAAAGTATCCACAGACCTGCAGTAACCAGTAAACCTGGGAGGTGAGTGCCAAAGCTAGCTTTAGCCTTGAGGGTTTTTACTGAACTCTGCATTTCTATTAATTCCCACTTTATCACAGGTTTCAAATAATTCCCACAAAATGTTCTTTAAAAATTTATCAATTGATAGTCAAAAATAACCAAACACACAAGGAAACAACTCACAATGAATGAAAACTAGCAGAACAGACAGCAGAACCATCCTACAAGAGGTTGCAGAAATTAGAATTATCAAAGAACATAAGATATTTAATATCTTTCAAAAATAAACAGAGAGTCAAATTATCCCTCTTTGCTAATGATATGATCCTATACCTTGGAAATCCAAGAGAATCTGCCAAAAACCTGCTTGCACTGATAAAAGACTTTGGTAAAGTCTCAGGGTACAAAATATATGTGCAGAAGACAGTTACATTCCTATACACCAACAACAAACAGGCAGAGACCCAAATTAAAAAACAATCCCATTCACAATAGCCACAAAAAAAATGAAATACCTTGGCATCCTCCTAACCAGAGAATTTGAAAGAACTTTACAATGAGAACTACAAAACACTGCTCAAAGAAATCCAAGAAGACACAAACAAATGGAAAAATATTCCATACTCATGGGTAGGAAGACTCAACATTGTTAAAATATTCATCCTACCAAGGGCAATCTACAGATTCAATGCAATACTAATTAAATTACCAACATCATTTTTTTCAGACCTGGAAATGACAATACAGAAATTCATATGGAGACATAAACGACCATGAATAGTCAAAACAATCCTTAGCAAAAGAAACAAAGCAGGAGATATCATACTTCCTGACTTTAAACTTTACTACAAGGCTACAGTAATCAAAACAGCCTGGTATTGGTACAAGAACAGGCATATAGACCAATGGAGCAGGATAGAGATTCCAGAAGCAAAATTTCAATTTCTCAACAAACTCATCTTTGACAAAGTCTCTAAAAATAACCACTATTCGGTAAAAGGTGCTGGGAAAACTGGCTGACCACAGGTGGAAGATTGAAACAGGACCCCTACCTATCACCATACACAAAAATTAACTCTAATGGATCAAAAGCCTAAATGTAAAACCTCAAACTATAAGAAACTTAGAAAACTATAGGAATTTTAGAAACACCCATATGAAAACTGGAACAGGCAACCCAATTCCTGATCAGAATCCTAAGTGCCCATACCATAAGAATTAAGATAGACAAGTGGGACCTCATCAAACTGATGAGCTTCTGCAAAGCAAAAGAAACCTTCAAGAGAGATGAGAGCCAGCCACAGAATGGGAAAAAATATTTGCCAACTGTATATCTGACAAAGGCCTAACATCTGGGATCCACAAGGAACTCAAATGCACCCAAAGGAAAAAAACAGCCCCATTAAAAAGTGGGCAAAATACATGAATAGACACTTCTCAAAAGAAGATAT